CCGGTCTTCCTCAGCAAAAAGAGGAGGATTAGCACGGATGTTAGCAGGGATGTTAGCTCAGGGCTGATCTTTCTTACAAAAAAATTAAAAAAAAAAAAAATTTGCAAAGTAAAAAGGCAATGTGTACAAGAATTGAGTGCATGGACATTGTTGCACTGCTGGTGGCATGTAAACTGTTACAAATACAAGTGATCTGGCAATATATATCAAAAGCCATAAAAAGAAAACCCACTTCTGAAACCATTTCTAAGGAAAAATCCTATACATGGAAAAGTAGTCTATGCACATACACAGAGACACAGACACACACACACACACACACGAAAGCTCCTCCCCCACCAAAAATGGAGCCCAAACCTTCAAAATATTTACCAGTGGGGAATGATTAATAACTTGTAATATGTATAGTTATCTAATAGAATATTACAATTTGATGTAATAAAATGAGAAAAGCCTCTGCTATAATGAATGAAAAAAGCAGTTTACAAAATTATTGAAAACAGAAAATTCATGCTAATAAAAAAAGATGATAAGAAATTATAATAGGATGTGGAAGTCACTGGGTGGTGGTGTTATGGGTGACTCTTAGTTTTTCCTACCTTTTCTGTATTTCTCAAGTTTTCTTTAATGTGAATATAATAATTTATTCTAGAAAGAATCTAACAAATTTTTTCTCACATCACCTCTACTCTTACTGTCTAATATCTCCACTCAGGGAAATTACCCGTCAGTTTCTAATTGTCTTCTCTTTCATCCAAGTATAACAGTTGATTAATATTATACTTACTTAAAACCTTTTAAAAAGTGACTTCTCTAAGAAGTTAATTCTGAGGATACTTGCAAATCTTAAGAACGCTGAAGCTAAGTTTATTCTACGGAACTGTGGGTGAAGAGCACAGAGTGGCTAATTACCAGTGAATCAATTTTCTTAAAGAAAATGTCATGTATACTGACACCTCCTGAATTACATTTCTCATTAATATATATAGATATCTTCCAGCTGAAGATGGCATTTCTGTCAGGCTTATGTGGCATAAGAGAGTAATAAACAGCTGAACAACAAAGAAAATTTTATTGTGCTTTGACAAACCGGAACCTTTGTTTCCCAGGACTAGGATGAATGAGTATTCCCATAGACATTCCAACTCTCCCTGCAGAGCTTAATGTAATTTATGAAAATATTGTTTGAGCCTTCTTTTTGAGGAACACAGTGCATGTTGTTTTTTTGAAAGATTAGATATAAAACTTGGTACTCAGAATTCTTATTTTAACTACTAAAGTAAGATGTTATTTCATGCCTATAAAAAAAGAACACAATATATATGTATGTAAACATTTTTAAAGAAAAACAATGGCTTCCACAAATTGATTTTATAATGCAATGAATCCTAATCTTGTTATCTTTTGTGGGGACCATAAAACTCGTGAACCCAATAACATAATCTGTACAACACGGCTGCGTCAAGTGCAGACATGACAGTTTCAAGCAGGGGAAGCATGCCCACTGTTGCGAGCCCTACCTAAACATTTGACAGTCCCGATGGCGTGTGCGGAAGCTGCTCGGGGTTTGTTAGTCACCAGAGCAAGCTCTCCAAAGTACTGTCCGCGGGAACACCGAGCAATTTCCACTGCACCGTTCTCTTCCGTTTCTACTTTTCCCTGGCGAGGTAATTGAAAGCATGAACGTTTACTCAGCTTATGAAAACTAAAAGTTAACCTCAGTCTAAACATCAAAAAGAAAATCTGTTATGTTTCTTTTAATATTCTGTGTATTTTTAGGACTTGCGATGCTTACCTTCCTTTTCATAGTAATTTTCACTTCTCCAGATTCTACAATGAAAAAAGAATCAGCCAAATCTCCCTATCAGAATAAAACAAAAACAGGGTGAAAATGCAGATGTAGGTGACAGCACTCCTGTTGCCTCTCATAGCTCTGAAATCATTCTGACCCCAATGTACAGATGATTTGCCTGAAAAGTGAGGCCCCGTAGGAACAAACTGTCTTTCTCAACTGAGAGGTTACGATCGACAATTATAGTAATGATTTCATTTGTAAAATTATTTGAAATAAAATACTCTCTACCATAGCATTTCTTCTAAAACTAGCCAAGAAAATATGGCAAATAACATGGGGCTAAGAATTTCACCCCAACTTCAGCCTGCATAAAAGCACCCATGTTAGAAACGGCAGCACCATTTCCCAGCAGCCTCTCCTCAGTCGGCGGGAACATGCCTGCTGACCCTGGGCCCCCGTGTCATCCTACTACAAGAAGCATAGGCATGGTGACCCAAGAGAGCCCATCGACTCCCACAGAGCAGAAAGCACCTAGACTTACTCAGAAATGGCAGATTTGGGCCTGAGGTTTTCACTGCTGTTAGCGAGACCCAACTCTGAGATGCCAGTTGACTGACAATATACCTCAAGGCCTCAAAAGGACTTCTCAAAGGAAAGTGTTGCCATTCTAACTACAGACCCATTTTTTTTCTTTCTTTCTTTCTTTTTTTTTTTGGTGTGGAAGAGTGGCCTTGAGCTAACACCTGTTGCCAATCTTCCTCTTTTTGCTGAGGAAGATTAGCCCTGAGCTAACATCTGTGCCCATCTTCCTCTATTTTGTATGTGGGTTGCCGCCACAGCATGGCTTGATGAGCTGTGTAGGTCTGCGCCCAGGATCTGAACTCGCAAACCCAGGCTGCCAAAGCAGAGCACACTGAACCTAAACCCTATGCCACCAGCCCAGCCCCAGACCCATTTTTTTTGATGAAGAAGATCTGCCCTGAGCTAACATCTGTTGCCATCTTCCTCTTTTTGCTTGAGGAAGATTCTCCCTGAGCTAATTTCTGTGCCAATCTTCCTCTGTTTTATATGTGGGTCGTTGCCACAGCATGGCTGCCAACAAGTGGTGTAGGTCCACGACCGGGAACTGAACCCGGGCCGCTGAAGTGGAACGTGTTGAACTTAACCACTCGGCCACAGGGCTGGCCCCTGGTTTTGTTTTTGGATGAACGCTGCCTTGATTTCCAATGATATCTTCTGAATTAAAGAGTATAATATGAAAGATAACAAATACTGACTTTTCTGAGCCTCTCAAAGTGGTTCTGGAGAAACTTAGGTATTTCACAACTCTTTAGGAGTTTCACAACTCTTTAGGACAATTCAAGAAATACAGTATCAGATTACATCACAAAAAGTTGAGTCTAGATTGATATAATACAGTGCAGACATGTATGTTTATAAATGCTTAAAAGACAATTAATACCTCAAAATATCTTTAATAAACCCTACATATAGTATACATATCTCCTTTCCCTTATCTTTATATCAGGTTTTCATAACAGCTTCATGTTCAAGTTTCAAGCGTTTTGAATCGTGACAGGTCTATCGACTGCTGTGTAATTTTGTTTGTTTTTAAAACATACTCTCAACTCTGGATCGAGGTCTGAGGACTGTGCCGGTGTCCACTCCCTGCTGGGCACAGGTGCTACAGTGATGCAAGGTGCACTGGGGAGACCAGGGGAACAGTGCATGGGCCCTCTCTCTACTATTTTTGCCACTTCCTGTGAATCTATAATTATTTCAAAATAGAAAGATAAAAAAAAATCATTCCAAAAGTGCTCTACACTTTGTCATTTATCAATTTATATAGTAGAGGCTTAACCTTGTTCTCTAATTTGACTCCACTTCTTCCCAAGCTCTGAGTGCGCTAACCCATGTGTGTGTGGGGGTGTGTGTGGGGGGGTAGAGAGAGACAGATTGACTTGTTTATTTGCCTTCTGAAACAATTATTCTTTCCTCAGTCTCACAGACCTTGAATCTTGTTTCACAGAGATCGAAAGAGACAATATTTTAGATGCAGAGTACAATGCAGTGTGATGTTGTGGTGCCAAAAGTACAGAATCCAGTAAAACTCTGTTAAATCATTCGCTCAACACTTCAGAAATGTAACTAGGAAACAAACAAGGCGCTATCATCTGCATGCTGTGTCTGTGAACTTCAACTGTCTTCATACATCCTAATTCTTGGTAGCCCTACTCTAACCAAGGCATGTAACACTACTGGTTCCAACCAGGATCCTAGAAGAGGAGTAAAGATTCAATAGCATGTTGGCCCCATTTAGTGCCTGGAGGCCAAGACAGTGTATGTGCAGTGTGTTCCCTTCTCGGTTAGTTTATCAAGGAGCAGCCTCAGGAGGCTTCATCATGAATGGAGGATGCAAAACTCTACGGTATCTTCCAACGCACCTTCCGAGTCCTCACAAATCTCATGGAACACTCACCTCTTTTTTCCTCTTATAAATGACATCTTATTCTTTATATACGCGAATTTCATGTCACGTCCAAATGTAGAATTATGCAGAAAGCCATTTGATGATTTAATACATATCCACCAGGAGTTAATTATGTAAATAAAAATATTCAAATAGCTTAATAGCTGTAAATTAAACGATTTGTAACAGCTCATTTGGTAGAAGTAATATTCATTTAATCCATCACTACATACTAATTACAGACACACATGAAAACATTGTCAAGATTTACCACGAATAAGAACCTTTTGGAATGTAACCCGAAACTGAATTACATAAAAAGCGTTATACCTGAGCAATGATTTGTTCCCCATCGTTGTAGACTTTGGTGCCTATCACATCTACCACTTTCAGGCGTTCAGAAACCTACAAAGAAAAAAAGACAATAGTAAATAGAAACAGACTAATTGGGCAATCTTATCTATTTCAGAGGTTAAAAACTGGTAGCCGATAGGCCAAATAAACCGAGCAGTGTGTGGTGTGTGTGTTATATTAATTACTAGCATTTTAAAATAAACAAATTTCTCATAAAAACTTGAATTTGAGTTTCTTTTGAAAAATCAGGAGACTCAGTAACACTCAGCCCCTATTTCCACCCGGCAACAGTCAACCATGGTGAACAGCAGCTGTGTTTTTAGATGGAGCACATGTTCCCCAGTCTACTGAAGTCCCTTCCTGGCTTGGTTTTCTTCTTTATGTTACTTGCCTGGCTCTGAAGGCATTTGGATTTCCAAGCCCCGATCTATTTTTATTTAAGGAGATATGCTGCTAGAGCACATCAGCTGCCTAATATGTGTCTGTAACGTGGCCAAAATTTCTACCAGGCCTAAACTGACAATCCCACAGAGAGATCTTTCAGTAGATGAGTTGGTACAAACCCCAAGGTTTCTGGCCATGATGGTGGAAGGATGGCATTGCCATCCACTACGAAGAGGAAGCGGGGAGGAGTAGATTCGGGATGTGTGAGGCTGGAGGCATCTATTAGACATCCAAGAGGCAATGTTAAATATGCAGTTGGATGAATGAGTCTGGCATTCAAGGGAGGGGCCTTGCCTGGTTATGTCAATTTTAGGAGGCATCAGCACAGAGACAGTATTTAAAGCCAGGGGATTTGACAAATTCATCAAGTGAATAAGCGTAGCCTGAAAAAAAAAGGAAGAAAAAAAAGGAAGACCCTGGAATGCCAATTTGAAGAGGAAAGGAGAGGAGGAATAAATAGTAAAGACGAATGAGAAAGAGAGGCTGGTGAGGACATCTGGTACTTAGATAACCTCTCCCTGTAAAGGTATAACTAGTGGCTACTGCCTGCATCTACACGATTATTTCATGTCTGCTTTTAAAAGACCACATATAAATTTGCTATAGACGCTGGTGCCGTTATAGGTAGTAAAAGATGTACTGAGTTATACAAACACCATAATTTAATCTTTTCAAATGAAAATATGGATAGATTTTTATTCAAAGAAAATTTCTATAGAACTAAATATTCCTAACAAAACAGAAGCTTTTAAAGCAAAATAGAATAAAAGCATAAACATACACTTACCTCTAAAGATTTAAGGAATGGCAGGGACTCGATAAAGCTTTCATACATTTTTCTCTTTTTGGCATTATTTTTTACAATTATTCTCCTGAAGGTTACCCTGTCCTAAAGGCAGAATGTCAAATACAAAGATAGTTAAAAGGTTGATTTTATGGGGAAAAAAGTCTGAAGAGAGAGTTTCATTTTATTCCCTATACGGAACAAACAATAATTAAAGATTTAGAAATAAAAGATTAACATTCTTATACTTTTAATTCAACTCATTTCAGATTTTTATTTCTTTAAGCAGAAAATATAAAATATTATCTTCATTTTTTTAAAGGAAGCATCAGTTTACTTTTATTCAGAACAGAGATCTGACCAACATTTAATTTGGCTACACCCACCAGGTGGCGCTGTCGCACCATTTAAAAAGATACTAGCCCCTAGTTCTTTTTTCCCCCAGCTTTTTTGAAATATAATTGATCTATAATATTGCATAAGTTTAAAGTGTATAACATGTTGATTTGACACACTTATATAGTGTGAAATGATTACCCCAGTAGGGTCAGTTAATACATCTATCACGTCATTTAATTACTATTTCTTTTTTATGGTGAGAACATGTAAGATCTATTCTCTTAGCACCTTTCGGTATGTAATACAATATTGTTAACTGTAATCACCGTGCTGTACATTAGATCCCCAGAACTTATTCATCTTACAACTGGAAGTTTGTGCCCTTTGACTTCTCCCCATTTCCCCCACCCCCAGCCAACCACATTCCAATCCGTTTCCATGAGTTTGGGCTAGCACTGAGTTCTTGTACTGTGGATGACAGCCCTAGAGTGTTGCAAAATCAATTTGGTGGGACATGACAGTACTTTTATAAAAAATAAAGTAGAACAGAAAATCTTAGAGTGTATCTCTTGTAGTAAAGTGTTGTCTTCAATATTTATTTCAGTTATACACAAAGACACACATGCCCTGGTTGTGATGTTTCCACGTGTTTCTTAATGAGAGTTGGAGTAAAAAAAATACATGGAAAACACTCTTAGAAATGTTTTTAATCATAAAGCAATTATAATGTATGAGATCTTGAAAAATATTTACTCTAGGTTCTTTGTCACATCCACATTACATTAGTTTTCTTTTTTAAAAATGTGAAGGCACAGAGAAACTACAACTTTCTTGAGTAGGGTCTAATTCCAGTGTTTATCATGCTCAGAGTTTTAAAATGTTCCTATGTTTATACTACTTAACCTTAAAGATGCAGAACTTAATTAAGGAACCAGGGAAATTTATAAACATAGCTCAAAAAATGTTTTTCCTACAAATTTTATTTTGAAAAACTTCCTACAAAACATTTAGTTCTTAATTAAAAGCCCCCAGATAATGTTAGTTTGGCATATACTGATAAACAATTATGTAATTTCAATATAAAATAAAATTAATTGGGATATGTTATTTAATTAATAAATTACTGTGCCTACATATTAAGGCTGAATTTAAATAAACTGGTACAACTAAGAAAAATGCCAGTGTGGATGTAAGTCTCTAGGAAATTAAACATTCTGATCTCCAATTTAGTTTACTACAATTTTATAAGGTTGGTAATTTGGACTTGTGTTCTTAATTTTTTAAAAAAGAGGAAATTTTACAATATAATTAGTAAAAATACTGAAATAATTCCCAAGCCTGGCTCTGCATCAGAATCAGCTATAATGTTAAAAAAAGAAAAAGGTTTCTGAGATCCTAGACTTCAATGACTCAGAGTCTCTGTATGTAGGGCTCAGTAATCTATATGTCACAAAAGCTCCCCAAGTGATTCTGATACATAATCAGATTTGAAAACCAGCTGCGACACCATTTTATGCACAGAGTTTATTGCAAAACAGAGAAAACTAGAAATAGTTTAATGATTTAGAAATTAACCACAATGAGAGAGAGAGAGATACTAGGAGCCCAGGACAAAATAAAATGAGAAAAAAAGAAGAAATTAACCACAATGAGCTGTATGTCTCAGGAAGAACTGCCTATTAATGGTGCACCTCTTCACACCCACTGTCACATATAAATAAAGTCCAGAAAGTCCCATTTCAAATGTCTTCATCCTAGTCATTTCAATAATCACCTCTCTGAATCATCAGCCTGGTCATGTAGATCAGTTAACCCTCTAAGGTTAACAGTGACCAAGTAGTATTTACAAAGTTAGACTGTATGTACTACAGTGGACTCTTCTCTTGGGATCTGCTTATCTTTACACCTGCACTTATATGGCAGAGCACCAATCCGTTGACCTTAAAAGAAAAATTTCTTTTCTAAGCGACTTCCCCTGAAAAGGGGCTAGTTAGGTGAGTTGCTCTTAAAAAGCAGATTTGAAGTATTAACTGATTATGTTAATTATTCTAATTTCTTAAAAAAGCTATTGCACATATGCATATACCCCAAAGTGATCATCACAAACTGCCCACTTTATCATAAAGTTTAATAACATGTATAGATTAGTAAAAATCTCCAAAAATGCTTAATCCTTCTTGAGAGCTTAAGTGCACACCAGGTAATGCTGGGCCTTTATACCTAGTTAAGGTTTCTACCAGGACTGAAAACTATCAGTATTCAAAAGGGGCCCCCTGCAAAATATGTGATCTTGTACTGAGCACGTGCTAGGAGGCGGATTCCTTACCGAGGGGCGTTCTGACCCTGGCTGGCGACCCCACTGGGAGCAGTAAAGTTTTAAATGACACCTTCCTTAACGAAACAGGTCATGGCCGACTCGGGAGTTAGCTGCTGCTCTGCGGACAGGCATGCACGTCTATAGACCAAGTCTGCTCTGGTTTGGAGTTTTTACCTTGCTGGCTTTGGATTTTCAAATCTTTGATAGTCCTTAAAACATTTCAGATGAGGAGTTCCCTTCCACCTGAAACAATTCCAATTTTTCTTCTGCAATCTAAAAAGTAACTCGGGGCCGACCTGGTGGCGCAAGCGGTTAAGTGCGCGTGCTCCGCTGCGGCAGCCCGGGGTCCGCAGGTTCAGATCCCGCCAGTGCACCGACGCACCGCTTGTTAAGCCATGCTGTGGCAGCGTCCCATATACCGTAGAGGAAGATGGCCACGTATGTTAGCTCAGGGCCAGTCTTCCTCAAGAAAAAAGGGGAGGATTGGCATCAGATGTTAGCTCAGGGCTAATCCTCCTCACACACAAAAAAAGGTAACTCATCCCACTTTTAATAAGTAAACAGTCACTGCCTGGTTCTAATAAGAAGAAATGTACAGCATATCTTGCTTCTCTGATGAAGAGATATTTTTACCAGCTGAATCCACTTCAGTCAGCTGCTGAGTCATGACAGAAGAATGTGTAACTTCTGTAGCGCTATAGTCTTTGGAAATGAGATTGTTAACACACTGCAAACGATCTCGTCCTCTCCTCCTTCCACAAAAGGATTTGAGAAACAACCTAATAAATGTATGACAAAACTATGGGGGGGAGGGGCCCTGTTTTCAACAATTTAAAGAGAAAATACAAGTATTGCAAACATCCTGCTAGGTTGGTGCTGCTTAAAGGGTGTTCTGAGCACACGCAGCACTGGGGTCTCCTGGGAGCGTAGGAGAAATGCAGAGTCACAGGCCTCCCCCCGGACCCGCTGAACCAGAATCTGCATCTCAGCTAGATTTCCCAGCGGATCCGTAAGCACAGCGGAGTCTAAGCAGCAGCGTCACCTTCAAGAGTCTTCCAGAATCAGCTTCACCAGTGCCTGCTACTCTGCATCCTGGTATCACCTACAAGACTAAGTCTTGTAGAAATACAACAGTAAGAAAAATATTTTCAAAGCTCAGGTCCCACCCCCAGAGATTCTGATTAAATCTGTCCTAGGCAAGAGGATTGTTTGTTAAACACCCCCAAGTAATTCTGCTGTGCATCCAGGTGAGAAGCAGAGGCGTCAAGTACTTTTTCTCTGCAGCTGCTTTCAATGCAAAGTTGTTACCTATCAATTGAGGCCACACAGAGAGGATCCGTTTGTCGTGGTTCATCACTCTCGCATGCGTCAGAATCACTTGGCGGGCTTGCTCAGATACAGATGGCTGGGCCCCATCTCCAGACTTTCTGATGCAGTGGGCTCCAATCAGTAAGTGGGGCTCCAGAATTTGCATTTCTAGCAAGTTCTCAGATGACACAGATGCTGCTGGTCAAGGGACAACACTTTGGGAACCACAGATTATAACACCTACCTCAGACAGCTATCTGAGAAGACAACACTGGAGGCTTTGTTTGTTTGTGTGGCTGGCTGTTTTGTAAAAGTGAGTAAAAGAGGAGCATTCTGGATCTGAGCGTCTCTCCCAGGGCAGGAGGTCCTACGCTCCTGCCTTGACTGGGGAAAAGAACACGAAGATGGAACCCAGCACAGTCTCAGTGCCCAACAGTTCAGCATCCAGGAGTTGCTTAATAACTTCCCCGATGATCGATGATCCCAAATAAATCTACCTATGAGAACTAAAATACTGCATCCACCTGGCTTTCGTCATAACTCTTTCTACAAATAACATTCAGGGCACATAAATACTTCACTCACCAAGCCCCACAGAGCACCAGGGGAGGTGGCGGTGATCGTGGCCGCTCTGGGTGTGTTGTACATTAAGGCCAGCTCACCGAAACTCCCACGATTATCGTAGTTACCGACACACCTTCCAACACCATCGCATTTTACATAAATATCAAATGTTCCTCTGTTGGGACACATGAAAAATAAGAGAGAAAAGTAATTCAAGTAAAATATCATTACAGTAAAGCTTTATTTCAGAGAAGAGGCCTGTGCCATAAAATCTCATTTCCAGCCTCCCTTTCCCCCCTGATGACAGTAAGTAATAAAGGGGCATCAATATGCGCCAGAGTCACCATCTGTTCCTGACAAGCATGTATAAACTAGGGTAGGGACCACACATGTGCCCGCTGGGAAGATGAGACTAAACAATAACAACTGAAGGGAGTAAAGGATAAAAACGTAACTAAGACTGCAACCAAACAGTATATGCATAGACACCATCTGAAGGAATGTGTATCAAACTGCCACCTGTAGTTACCTCCGAGCGTAAGAATAGTGAAGGATTCCAGGGACATTCACACGTAATTAAAGAGTTTTTGTTTCTAAAATGAACATGCATTACTTTTGTGATCAGAAGAAAGTAACTATTTTTTAAAAGAATACAGCTCTAACAATTTGGTCACCACTACTCTACAGTACTTACGAGGGGCCTTTATAATCTAAAGGAGGGGCTGTCAAACTACGGCCCACAGACTGGCTGCCTGCTTTTGTAAATAAAGTTTTACTGGAACACAAACACCTTGGTTCATTTCTGCATCATCTGCAGCTGCTGTGTGCTATAACAGCAGAGTCGAGTAGTTCCAACAGAGACCATATGGCCTGCAAAGCCTAAAAAATCTACTCTCTGGCCCTTGACATCATCTGGTCCTTTACTTTAGACTGATCTCAGTCTAAAGGAAAAAGTGGTAGACATTCAGACTAAATTTCTGATCCTGGTCTTTTCACGGTTTTTCTGTGCTTATCTTTCAATTGGGGTTTTTTTCCTAGGTAAATAAGACTGAGTTTGCATGTCACTGCACTATGTATTATCCAGATCCTGTATTTATATGAACTAATTCTTCTTGTGGAGGACTGTCTTTCCATGTACTGTTGGAAACACAAGATAAAAGACAAAAGACATTAATGAATAACAAAGAGAATAATTGGTTTTTAATATAATTCATGGATAGAACGGCTGTTTCAAGGATTTGTTTCATGACTATTTTTCCAGTACAGATTAATTCATCTATTTACACTATTTACACTTTTGCACTAAAACTGTTTCCTACATTTTCTACTTTGAATAGGATAAAATATACAACAAATGTGCTGCTGAGAAGAAAATGGGCTACCAGTCCAGCTGAAATCACGTGAGGCCTCGGCAGTGCAGAGCCACGGAAGAGCCCAGAGGGTGGCCAAGAGACCTGGCTGTTGGGTCTGCTCTACGCTGATCCTCTGGGTGACCTTACCCGACTCCCGTCACTTCTGTGTGCCTCAGTGAGAACCTTCATCTGTCAAATACGTGATCAGGATCTAACTGAAAAGGGAATGTTCTATATACAAACGTAAGGCAGTTTTTATAGTCAAAATACCTACTAAAGAAGATTAATCTTGTATTGTATTTGGGGTTCTCATATACCCCTACAATTAAATACAATTAAACAGTTGAGAGAACTTCTGAGGTGTTTCACTGATGAAACTGTGCATGATACCAAAATCATGACTCTAATTTACATTTGGGATAACCGGTTCTGTTCTATTCTAAAATCACAAGAGTCCAGCCGGTCCTGGCTAATGCCTTGGCAACAACTCCACAGGGCACCAAGGCATTAGAGATGAGGGAATGAAGCATCAGTGGAAACTCTTGATTCAGAGAGTGTGCACTACTGATGCATCACAGAGACCACCGCAGGCCTAGGAAGACAGATAAGGAGTCATTTTCTGCAAGGCCTCTGACTTGAACACAACTCTACCCACAGAAGCAAGTGTAATCCAATAAATCAGGCTGGAAGATGACCTGTGTTCCACACATAACAGGAGAGGCTGGGGTATCAATCGTCCCATAAACACTTCCTCATCGACTTACAAAAGGGAAGAAATAAAGACTCAGTTCAGACTGCTCCCCTACTACATTTCAGGGCTCTTATCTAGTTATTGCTTAAAGCACACTGTTCTTTGAGGAAGTAAAGCACAACGTAAATTTTCTGAAATTCAATTTTCAGTATAAATGCATGCCTTCTCATTTAAATAAAATAATTTCTATACAGGGTCATTAAAAGACAAATATAATGATGCATAAACAATTTCTGGAAGGACATATAGATTACTGACTAGATGGTGCTGAAGCAGTAGGAAGAGAGACTGACTTTTCACCTCATGCTCCTCTGAAATATTTGAATTTTTAAAATTCAAATGAGCATGTTTTGCTTTGCAGTTGATAAAAAAGAACATTTTGAAAAATAGAACACAGATTGAGTTATACTGTGATTTACTAGCCTGGATGCTGCATTATGCTCCTATTTTTACTGATAGGCATCTACTGCATACTAACTACCTCTCAAATAGAAGTTCACAAATAGGGAGGCTCACAGTAAATGACCGAGATGTATAGATTAAACCAACCAAACATCACCAGTCTTCATAAAGTAGGCCTCCTTTCACGATCTAGTATGGCTTCACTGCATGTACTCACAGCAGGTTTATAGCGTCTGTTATGCAGTAATAAGAGAGAAGAGGCAATAGCAACTTTCATATATTAATTTGTCAGTCGTTATAATAACCACTGAGATTTTACACAAAAGGTTCATTACATTTCAGTGGTGAAGTTACACAAAACTTACCTATCGATTACGTAGAAGTTGTCACCGTCATCACCTTGATCAATTACATGTTCCCCTTCTTTGACCAATTTTTCAAACATGGCATCTAAGACTTGAGACATCTGCTCCTATTAAAAAAAAAAAGATATATTCTTTATGTTTATCTAGATCATCTTTGCTTAAGGAACAATAATTAGCTTTATATTTCTATGAACAAGCTCAAAGAAATGGAAATATCACTATTGCCATTAAGTCTTGTCAAAAAAATACCCAGTACAGTCTTCCTTATCATACACAAATGAGATGATTATATATTTACTCTCATATTCAGTATCTGAATGAAAGTAATTATAATTAGTCTATTTCAGAATATTTCCAGCTATCACCACTTAAATATGAAAAATTAACCACCAAACCACCACATAACCCTGTGAAATATAATCTTAGCAACTAAAATGACCAGGTTAGTAAAAAACTAGTGCAACTGTCTTTTAAAGATGTCTGTTGTTAAACGTCCCTCTATTAGTCATCACTAGAATTTATGAAGATTACCTAAATACTCAGTGAATTCAAATCCTGACTCCAGTGCTTTCTGGTTTAGCAGCAAAAACAAAACCAAACCAAACAGAGAAACAACAAAAGCCAAACCAAAAGCACTTGTGGCAAACATCCTATCACTATCCTTCGTCACTAAGGTTCTCTTCAAGAAGCAACCATTTACTTCCCTAGGACAGATTTATCAAAACTGAAGCCCGAAACATCCAGCCTATTATTCAACAACTACTTAAACTATCTAAAATTTTTATTCTGCTAAAGTGTGGTTGACAAGGCTTAAAGATAAACTTCAGCTGAACAGAATAAGCTAGGAGATGAAAGAAATCTTCCCTCAGAACAAATACAGGAACAATTCAAAGGCCTCAGAACAGATGGAACGAATGGATATGGAGAAATAGTGCAGCGCACAGCCACAGACAAGTCCCAGGACTTCGGGGGTTATTTGTGGCCACTTACCAGCCCCAGCACTGGATCAAGTCCCTATCTGTGAGTATAAAAACGGCACAACACAGCACCCCAGAAGAGCGGATAACGAGTGGCGAGTGAGAAGCCCCCCGACGCCAAGGACCCAGTGGGCAAAAGAGAGAGCCTCCCCCGCCCCCATGCCGGACACTGCAGCTCAGCCGACCAGACCAGACTAAGCGGCCATGGACTGCAGCGAACAGCCAGGACAGAGCGTGGGGGGCTCAGACTACACAGCCCTTAACCCCCACACGGTGGTGGCGGTGGAAATTGCAACCAGATATTGCCAGGATGAGGAAAAACAAAGCCAACACAGGAACCACAATGCAAAGATACATGAAATCACCAGACCAGAAGGAAAATGACAAGCACCCAGAAATCAACCCTGAAGACACAGAAATCCATAGCCTAAATGATAGAGATTTCAAAATAGCT